GGCTCTTAACGACCCATTGTTAGGGCTCTAATGACGTATTTTTAGGGCTCTAACAATTTATTGTTAGGGCTCTTAACGACCCATTGTTAGGGCTCTAACAATTTATTGTTAGGGTTCTAACGACCTATTGTTGGGGCTCTTAAGGACCTATTGTTAGGGCTCTAACCTATTGTTAAGGCTCTAACAATTTATTGTTAGGGCTCTAACGACCTATTGGTAGGGCACTAACGATCTCTTGGTAGGCTGACGGTCCTCCTTTTGCATGTGAACAGCTCGTTCTGGCTGTCTTCAGCAGACTGGTTGGTCCACTCTGAGAAGCTGCTGTTTGAAAGACTGAGTTTGCTGCAGTGTTTCAGACCGACAAAGTCTTTTGGACAAAAACGAAATGTTGCAACAAAAAGAATCTGTCCAGGGGACCTGATTTTTCATTCATTCAACCTTTATTTATACAGGTTAATCCCATTGAGCCTCGAGGACTCATTTACAAGAGAGACCTGATTTCAACAAAGAATGATGACAACAATGGACAACAATAGTCAATCACAAAAGAGGCATACAGATTTTTTATTATTTTATTTTACAAATTAAAATAAGATGGCAAAAAAGTAGCAAAAACTGCTAGATTATAAGGCGAATGTATAAAACTAAAAACAGGAACATGACTGCAGTGGTTCTTGCCAGGAGTCCAACAGATGCTTGAACCACTTAGAGGGGTCAAAGGTCGAGAGCTTCAGATGTAACCTTGTTAGATTGTTCTACCTGGATTATTGAGCATAAATCAGAACAACCAAAATACTGTTCTAACTGCTGTTTTTAAATACCTAATCATATTTTACACTATAAAATGTGGAAATAAGAGACAGAAATCATAATTATGTGTTCATTGTCTGTGAGTGACAGCTTAATAAGCTGGGTGAGGAGGATAATCTGAACAAACTGCTGCTCTTTTTCTTTTTTGTGAATGCACCGCAGCTCAATGAAAGGTGCTGCAGCTCTGCAGAGAATATTGT